ACAAAGGCAACATAACGGTATGCTTATACAAGAACGAATACATTGAAAAAATGAATTTGATGTTGTCAGACAATAGTACATACATAATCTGGGAAAAAAATAATACATTAACCAAAATGCAAAAAGATGTCCAATATTTTCTTATAAATTTTAATGACAAAGGCTATATTAAAAAATATTTTCCAAACATACATATTAACCAATTTTTTCTAACGCAATCACATACAAATCTAGCTAGAGCATATGGACTTCCAAAAATCCACAAAAATGGTTTTCCACTCAGGCCCGTAGTATCTACAGTTAACACTCCCACGCATTTCCTATCAAAATTAATTAGTAAAGTTCTTAAAGAATCCATAGACTTGCCTAGATCACACATTAAAAATAGTTATGAATTGAAAGAACGTATCAAAAACATTCACATCCCATCGGACCACATATTGGTGTCTTTCGACGTAGTTTCATTATTTACAAGTATACCTAGATATTTAATTCTTAATAGCATATACAAGAGGTTCCAAAAATTACATAGAAAATCGTTGATGATGTTTGACGAAATCATAACAACTATCAATTTTCTTTTCAACAATGCATATTTTTGTTTCAATAATACAAATTATAAGCAGATATTTGGAACTTCGATGGGAGACCCACTATCAGCATTATTTGCAGACCTAGTCATGGATGATTTGGAGACACAATGCTTGATTTTTCTGAAAGAAGAATATAATATTAATCCAATTTTTTATTACCGATATGTGGATGACACATTAATGTGCATCAGAAACATTGACTTTGATCGTGTTTTCGAAGTATTTAATGATTATAATTCACATTTGAAATTTACTTATGAGACAGAGGTTAATGGTTCTATTAATTTTCTAGACTTATCAATTACTAGAAAAAATAATGGGATTATTACTAACTGGTACCAAAAACCAACTATGTCGGGACGTATTTTAAATTACAACTCAAATCACACTAAAACAAAAAAAGAATATTGTTAATAACTTGATAGATAGATCGATATTGTTGTCTGATGAAAGTCACCATGACAATAATATATCTATTATAAGAAACATGTTATATAACAATGACTATCCGGAGGAATTTGTTGATGTGTGCATCAGAGATCGCATTAGAAAATATACATATAGTCATAACAATACACGGAATAAAAACAATAACGATAAACCGACAATTTACTTTCCAATTCCATTTAAAGAAGAATTTTTCTATAAATGCAAATCATCATTAAAGAAGAGTAACATTGTATGTGTACCAAAAATGACAAGCAAGCTATCTAATATTATTGGTCTAGGCAAAGATAAATTAAAGAAATGGGAAAAAACAGGCACAATTTATAATATTCAGTGTAAACAATGTCCATCGAATTACATCGGTGAAAGCAAAAGAGCTCTCAAAAATAGAATTAGTGAACATAAATATTCCGTGAAAAAAACTATTGAAGATCCAGTCAACTCTAGATTTAAACTTTTACCTATACCGGCCCATATCGTGAATAATCCAGAACATGAATTTGATTGGGAGAATGCAAAAATCATGCATTTAGAAGCTGATTACAGAAAGAGATGCATCGCAGAGTCGGTGTATATTAAAATTACGGATAATACCATCAATTCACAGGAAGACACAAAATATTTAAACAATCAATACTCAAGAATACTCAACATCATAAAATCTACTTAGTTTCAGTACGAAAAATAAACATAGTTATTACAATACATCACTAATTCCCTTTCCTTCCAGTGTTTCCCCCACTCGTCAAGTACACTTTTTCTCTTGTTGTGTCTCTCGCTGTCTTTCTCTTTTATTTCATATACAGTACGATATGTCATTATATACATAACAGTTACTTAGCTTTTAATTTGCTGATCATGATGTGTTTTTACCCAATTGACAAACTATATTTTTACCTAACTGACAAAAGATTGTTATTCTATTTTTATATTTATTATTAGACAGAAAAATTAATATTTATTTAATTAAAAGTGTAATGTTTATAACAGACCATGTATGTGCGGAAGAACTCTTAATTTATTCAATTTTATCTACATTACAAAACGTATGTTTATATTATAATACAATATTAATATTGAAAGAATTCATTTATTTATAATAATATATATATTCAACAGATGTACTGAGGTGGCAATAAATAAAATTGCGAAACGTTTATGATAAAATAAGTGTTTAGTTTATTTATAGGGACGACTCCTAAGATCAAGATTACTAATATAATTATCAAACATCAGGAGTGGAAAAAATTAACAATAAAAATTAACAAAGTCAGACTTAAAAAGTAATTTTCATATTTGCGACGTTATTGCGAGTGAATGAGTGACTGAAAACATTCGGACTGTAATAGAGTAGTATCAGGCTTATGTTGCAATGTTATTATGGAGAATGACAATCAACCGGTCAGTCCATAACGGTATAGTAATACAAAGGAGAGTTTAAAGCAATTTACTGATATGATTCTTAAACACAGATTTTAGGTTTTGTGTGTCTTGTATTTTATTTACGCTATTAAATTTTGTGATAAAGATCATTTCTGAAATTAAACATTTAAAGTATGATTGTTCTACGTCTAAAATTTTAATATTTTTGTGATCGAAATTGAAATTGTGGCCTGTTTCTTTCATGTGCATAACAAGAGCTGATTTATCTCTATTATGTATACAATCCGAAATATGTTCCTTCACTCTAGTTAATACTGTTCTACTAGATTGTCCTGTATAACACATATCACAATCTTGGCAATTTATCTTATAAACTGCACAGGATTTATACATTTTTGGGATTGGATCCTTCCCTAATATTGAACATTTTTGATTTATTGCAACATTTGAAGATTACATTTAGATTGAATCTATTAGCTATTTTTTTGATAGTTATATCATTATGTTTAATGTACGGTAGAACTACGAAGTCAGATTTTTTGGGCAAGTTGGTTTCTGGAGTTTCAGTATTGAAATTATTGAGTTTTTTTAATCTAATTTTTATAAATTTTTTAATGAAATGTAATGGATAGTAGTTAGCTTGTAAAAGAGAGCAAATGTGATCTAAATTTTGATAGTGAAATGATTTATGTGACAATTTTACAGCTTTATCAACTAATGTGTAAACAGTAGCGATTTTTTGTTGAAGAGGAGTGTGGGAAAGGAAATTTAAGTACATGCCAGCATGTGTTGGCTTATGAAACCAATTGGTAATTATTGATCTATCGTCTGTAATTGTCAAAGATAGATCTAAAAAGTTAATAGTATTGTTGTTAGGTTTTTCGACTGTAAATTGGATATTAATGTCATAGCTATTTAAGTAAGACAAAATCAAGTCAATCTCGCTTTCTCGTACACAAGCCAATCCATCATCGACGTAAACTTTCCAAAATAGAATTTCGTATGGACAACAGATTAGACAATCTTTAATTAAGTCAGTTAAAACAATGTCGGCTAGTATTGAGCTAATCGGGCTAATTGAGCTATCTCGCAATAACGTCGCAAATATGAAAATTACTTTTTAAGTCTGACTTTGTTAATTTTTAACAAAAACAATGTGATAATATTTGCGCGTCCAAAAAATGATTGGTAAGCATTAATATAATTGTGTAAGAAAAAAATACTATACATCAAAAATGATCTGTAATAAAATTTATGTACATGTTTAAATGTTGTAGAGACTTGAAAAGGGTTACCAAAAATGTAACCGAAACGTCGTCAACATAATAAAAACAATTTATTTGACAGTATGGCCCGCCTAGTCTTAATTATTTATTTTACAATTATTACTGTCAGTAGAATCAAACAATTTAATTTTACATAAGTAATTCTGCAGAATTTTACAAATGGGCGAAGCAAGTTATGCCTAAAATTACGTTTATTTACTGTAGTCAAGAAGAATATGAAATTTTTGAAAGTAGCATGTATAGTCAATTAAAAGATGCTCTTACTATACAAGGAACACAATCACTGCATGCATTCATTCCAGTTAGTGATGACAATACAACGGAAATTAAAGTAAAAAAAACTTCATACTCTTCTGAATTTGAAATAAGACGCATAATTTAAAGGGTTTTTTTTTTGTAAAATTACTTGTAAATAACTTATTAAGAGTATTATGGTGTAGGTCCGATAAAAAAACATTTTTAATGCGGCCGCATCCTAAATATGCGTCGGTCTCAAGCCCGCTCAAACGCAGAGAGCGAATGTTTAATTTCAATATTATATCAGATTGTATAAAGAAATAGTTCATTTACATTACTTACTTAATTAATACATCTATATATTATTTAAATAAATACATATAGACTGTTAGAATATGAAATTATTTATTCTTTAAAGAAGGCAATTGCAGTAAGCAACGTTGGAACCGCACGAGTAGCAGACGGCCGAGCGGCCGAACGGCTAGCGCGTGGTTCGTTTCATTTTAGTACTATCTTAATCCTAATAGCGGGCACTCGATTTTTTCAACGGTTTCTTGTGTAAAAAATGACAAGGAACACGATGGTACAAAAATTAAAAAAAAAAATATCTTTTATTGAGATATCGTCGATTTTTTGAAAAAATTGTTTATAACAGTGGCATAAATAAATGATTTGGTATTTTATTATTTACATTTTAAAAGTGAAACTCTTTCCGCGTTTTTTAAAAAAAGAATCATTTCCATATCTTTATTAGTCTCCGAGAAATCGAATTAATAAAAAAAAGTCCAATATTTTTTCAACAGTTGATAAGTCGGCCCCTCATCAATATTTTGATCTAAAACTCTGCACAGATGTTGACCTCTGTATAGATAACAAGTCTACCAACTTTGAACAAAATTGGTGATTTGAAGTTTTAAACTGTTTGAAATAGCCAAGAATTGCCCTTACCACAATTCGCATTTGCCAATTCAATGAAAATGAAAATAGTCTAACTACATACTTAATGTGTTTTATTTAAAATATGTTTATAATACACAATACATATTTTACTTACTATTTTGCAGAATCATTCAACTGGTACTCATTGCTCCTTCCAAAACAATCTTGAACACCACTGTCTGCCCAAAGTCTTTTCATTGCTAATAGCAACTCTTCGCTAAAAGGTTCTGTATCTTCCATTCGCTGAATCACATCGAATACCATTTTTGCATCCGTCTAGAAGGAAATATAATAAATCAGAGACGAATATATTAGTAGAATAAAATTATAATAGTATTTTTTTAAAGTTTGAAAAAGTTTATTCAATAACTAAATGACGGTAGGCTATATTTTTATTGTAAATTTTTTTCCTGATTTAGTTTTGTTTCATAAAAATAAGTAAAAGCTATAAAAACGAAATAATAACCTATTATTTAGACTATTCTTTGGTGTCAGAAGTATCGTGATGTATCCATATTTCATCTACAGTAACTAAACAATGCTTGAAATCCTGCGTATTTCGCTGGAACAGCTGCAAACCATTCTTATGACACTTGACATGATCTCGTTTTTGGTGAAACGTGAGTAAACGCGTCACCCACCTAGCAAATAGCTTTATCATATCCAAATATTGATGTAAAATATTATATACCCATTCACTCGAGATACCTACAATAATGATAATCTCACGCACCTTTACTCTTCTGTCAGCTATCACCATATCATAGATTTTATTACTGATTTCTGGAGTGATGACTTCAACCGGGCATTCAAAACGTTCAGCGTTTTTTGTGCTCATATGACCATTCCGAAAATATGCAAACAACTTTTATATCATTCTAATATAAGGTGTACAATCAGCATAATATTTATCAAGCTTCTGTTTAGTTTCCTGAGAAGTTTTATCCTTAATAAAGTAATTTTTACTTAATACGCGATTCTTTTACATCCATTCTTTTACTCGATTTTTCTTACTCAAACCAATGTTAAACACAAAATAATAAATCGATCTGGCTGAAATTTGATGTATGCTCTTCCAAGATATGCTACTAACTTAAAATAACTTCTATACACACCAGTAGTGTCATCTCTCTGACTTTGTACGGACTTTTCAAACGACCCTCGTATTCAAACATATACCTTAAATTTTTTTTCTTTGTAACACCCTATTTTTGCTATGAAATTATTGATTTTGTTACCTTTCAGAATTATTGCACAAAGCCTCGTATATCTTGATATGTAATTAGCTTATAATAAAAAAATATTTTCTTTAAAAATTGTTATGACTCGTTTAATCTATCTAAAATTTGTCTATAATATTTTTAAATACAAATTATGCGACCCTGAGGTTATTTTCTAAACCCCACATATGATATTTCATCTAAACATACAATTTCCTGATCTTTCCGAATCCAGAGTTGAAAACAGGGGTTTTTATTTAAAAAAAACAAATGACTTTGAAAATGATCTTTAAGGACAAAGGCAAGGTTACTACAAAAAGCCTTCCTTTGAATCTATACATTTTGTTTGAGAAATATTCCGCTAAACGTCGCCTGGGCAGAGATATCTGGAAAATGGACCTCTCTGTATATTAACTGTTGAGAGTTGAAAAAAATAATTTTTTTTGGAGGTACCACGTACGCTGATCGTATAAATGTGTTTTAGAGACCCTTCTAAAGTATTTTATGTCCGTGAATATTAAAGTTTAACACTTATTTTTAACACTTATTTTATGACATAATTTTTTTTTTTTTTTGTACAACGGAGTACTTATCATTTTCTGTGAGAAATTCTTAAGGTACTGTAAGGTGATTGTAAGCTAAAAGTAGTAAAATGTGGATTTTTTTTCACATGTTCGAAATGGTATTTCAAAATTTTTTTCATGATCCTTAGAAGGTCAAATGTTAAGAAATATTGTGGTTGCTATTTCATTGCATTTTCTGACAGACTAATCGTAGTTAATGTACTTTTATTATGAATATTCAGAGCCAATGTAACAATGACCATGAAAATATTGATCTTGAAAAAATTAAAATTTTCTAATTTTAGCGCTACCTAGGAACAATGACGTGGACGTAATAGGATTATGTTTCCTTTGGGATGCTTGTTTAACGTGAGTTCCCTTGCCTCTCACTTTATTACTTTACAATAATTGCTCAAATTCTTCTATTAGCTTCAAGACATAAATTTAACCTCCTTTGAAAGGGCTTTACCGTCCTGAACAAAACTTTTCTTAGGATAGCTCCACAAGCTTTACGAATACTCGTCATGTTATCTCTAGTTGATGGCTGTTGATCAAAACAAACATTTTTATGTAAGCCAATAAGAAAAAATCAGAGCATGTCATGTCTGGTAAGTCTGATGGCCAAGTAATTGAACTTTCTTCACCAATCCATTTTCCATTATAATTTTAATTAAAAAATGTGGACGCACTGTTCGCAGAAAGTGGGGATCTGCGCCATATTGTTGACGCAACATTCTTCTTCTCGTTTTCAAGTCAACTTCTTCTAAAAGCCTTGGCAGTCGATCTCTGAGCAATACCACATAACTTTGCTTATTAAAATTTTGATAAAAAAAATAAGGCCTATTCAGGTAATCATTAATGATCCCACACCACACTACGAAACTCAATTTGATGGTCAAGAACACCTCCTCAGATCAGTGATCTCAAGCGTATGAGCTATCAGATCAGCACTCTTAGATCACGTGCGAGAGTCTCTGCCCCTGCCCCCCACCCGCCCAATGTGAAATGCATTTTAAATATTAAAAATTATTTATGTGTAATTGAATGTAATTTATTTATATAATTTATCAATGTGTATATGCATCGCAGAATGAGCAGATACTATGGGGAATCGAACTCGCGTCCTTTGGATTGATAAATCGTAGTCTCTGTTGACTGACCCACGGCTTCTTGTAGCTCTTATTGTATATATTAGTCACACAGCCAAAAAGCAACTAGAACGACGCCCCGCGCCTCGCCCCCCCCCCCCCCCCCCCCCACAGAGTTAATTCGTGTGTGTGGACGTTTTAATATCAGTGTTATCATATATATATTATATCTAAATATATATATATATATATATATCCGTGTACGCGTGTCTTAAGATCACGCGTTATTATATTTATAATTAGGGAGATTATTCGTACCCCAGGCATGTACGAGGGTCGTTTGAAAAGTCCGTGCAAAGTCAGAGAAATGGCGCTACTAGTGCGTAACAAGGTTATTTTCAGTTAGTGGCATATCTTGGAAGAGCACACACCAAGTTTCAGCCAGATCGGCCAATTACTTTGCGTTTTACATTCGTTTCAATCAAAGAAATCGAGTGGTTGTAAAAAAATGGACGAAAAAGAATTTCGTGTATTGATTAAACATTACTTTTTCAAAGGCAAAACGCCTCAGGAGATTAAACAGAAGCTTGATAAACATTATGGTGATTGTGGACCTTCGATTAGAATGGTTTATAAGTGGTTTCAAAATTTTCGGAGTGGCCATATGAGCACAAAAGACGCTGAACGTTCAGGACGCCCTGTTAAGGTTACCACTTCAGAAATCATTGATAAAATCCATGATATGGTGATGGCTGACAGAAGAGTGAAGGTGCGTGAGATTGCTAGTACTGTAGGCATCTCGAGCGAACGGGTACATAATATTTTGCACCAACATTTGTATATGAAAAAGCTATCCTCTAGATGGGTGCCGCGATTGCTCACGATTGACCAAAAACGAGATCGTGTGAAGTGTTGCAAGAATGGTTAGCAGCTGTTCCAGCAAAATCCGCAAGACTTTAAGCGTCGTTTCATCACTGTAGATAAAACATGGATATATCACTACACTCCGGAGACCAAAGAATAGTCTAAATAATGGGTTACCAAGGGGGAATCTGCTATGAAAAAGGCGAAAACAATTCCTTCGGCCGGGAAGGTTATGGCGAATGCCTTTTGGGATTCGCAGGGAATAATCTTCATCGACTATCTGGAAAAGGGTAAAACCATTACAGGCGAATATTATTCATTGTTATTGGATCGTTTGAAAACCGAGTTGCTAGAGAAACGTCCACGATTGGCCCACAAAAAAGTCCTCTTCCACCACGATAATGTGCCAGCTCACGCCTCAGCAGTTGTGGCCGCAAAACTGATGGAGATAGGGTTCCAACTCGTTCCACACCCCCCCTCCTACTCTTCAGACTTGGCTCCGTTGGACTACTATTTGTTCCCTAATATGAAAAAATGGCTGGCGAGGAAAAGATTTTATTCAAACGAGGAGGTGTTTGCAGAAACGAATGCCTATTTTACCGACTTGGACAAATCCTATTATTTGGAAGGGATTAACAAACTAGAGCAGCGTTGTGTATAAGCCTAAAAGGAGACTATGTTGAAAAATAAAAAAGATTTATTAAAAAAAATCAAGCAGTTTTTATTTTTGCACGGACTTTTCAAACGACCCTCGTAGCTGTACCTGAACGTAGATTTTAACAAGGAATCGAAATCTGTATAAATAAGATAAAATATAGGAGTTTCCATTGAAAAAACAACATTGACGTGGAAATAACCTTTTTGGGGGTTGGGGCAATTGGAGGGTGGGCGGCTCCGGGTCCCTATACATATTAGATAATCTTACCATAGATTTCACGAGGAATCCGAATCCACGGTCAATAATAACGGTTCTTATTCAAAAATAATATTAATCTTGATATAACCTTGACGGGTCGCTTTCAAGGTCAAATCCAAGTTTGTCAACACATGGCCCGCTCGATCCTGAAAAACTCATATGAATCATTTTTTAGCTTTCTGGGCTTGTTTCCGAGATATTCAGCTATGAAAGTTCAAATAGGACACCCTGTATATAGGTAAATATTATAATATATTATAATTAATATTATAAATTACGTAGGAGATATTAGTTAATTATACATTGTATTTTATTCAGATTTTTTATTGATAAAAAATTAAACAATTACATATTAATTTAATTAATTCAATTAATTATATATTAATTATTGGAGTGGGTTTCGACTCGTGGAAGGGAGCGGACGTATCTTGGCTGTGAGTGCGAGTTTTGGTGAGAAAGTTCGAGTGGAAAAGTGTTTGAGTAGAGAGATAGAGGTGAAAAGAGCGTGGAGGCGGAAGAGAAGTGGAGTAGAGAGAGACAGAGAGGCTTGGAGAAGAGCACGAAAAAGCAAAGAGAAAGGAATAAAGAAAAAAGAAAAGTTGAGGTTAAGAGAGAAAATCAGGAA